TAGGGAGGAGGACTTACGGCAAATAGCGGGATCTTCGTCGCTGCCGTCCTTGCAGTCGGCGTCCCCGTCGCACTTCCAAGACTCGTGAATGCAACGACCGTTGGACTTGCACTTGAACTCCAGCTCGCCGCATTCTAAGTTGCAGTGAGCCTCGTCACTCTTGTCCCCGCAGTCGTCCGCACCGTCGCAGACAGCCACGCTCGGCCTGCAGTTGCCGTTTGCACACTGGAAGACACTGGGCCGGCAGACACGCGGCGGGCAACTGGTAGGCTCGTCCGAGCCGTCCTTGCAATCCTTCTCACCGTCGCACCTTCAATTAATTAATTCGCTATAATTTTCGTTCGATTCGAAAAACGGAATTCTTACTCATTTCTATTCTTTCACCTAATACAATTTGACTAGAAATAGCTAAGAAGATTAATAAATTCGTTAATTTTGACAAAACTATTTAGTTCTTATACTCACTTCCAATACCACGGAATGCATTTCTCATCTGGAGGGCCGCACCTATGTTGACCAGCGGTGCAATTAGCTCTGCAGGTTTTCCCATCTTTGTCCAGGATGAATTGATTGGGGCATTTGCATTTGTACGACGTGACGCCAGGCTGGCCGTATCCTTCGAGGAGATAGGAGCTCGCAGGTGGTGAAATCAGACATAAATGCGAACAACCGCCATTGTTCTCCATGCAAGGATTGTTGTAGGGCAGCTGTCGCAGAGGATGGTACGCGTGGATGTCGTACGGCCTGTGAGTGGTGTTCCTCAGCACCCGTAGGTTAGCTCCGGAGAATTTCTCCGCTCTGCTGATGGCTTTCAGATTCCAGTCAGTCCAGAAGATGAAATCGTCGAACACGGTGATGGCGAAAACGTGGGGCACCGCGGACCCAGAGAGGACTTTGCGCCTGTTGTGACCTTCCAAGTCGGCGAACGCGATGTAGTCCAGGTGAGCGTCGGCGTAGAAGATCCTGTCGGTGAAGTAGTCGATCGTCAGGGCGTTCGGCCAGGCTATGTCGTCCTCCCAGGTGAGGATCCTCGTGAAGTTACTGCCGTCCATTCCCATCTTGCCTATGTAAGCCTACGAAAATTCGAAGAATTATTTCAATGCTAGAAAGAATATCACAACTATATTATAATATTGCAATTCAATGATACAATTATATTCAAGTATATTTCTCACAAGTTGGCTCGTGTGTTTAAACAAAGTTTAAATAAAGTTAACTTGAGTTTTAAGTAAATGCAAAGCTAATTGTAAGATTACCTGAAGATGCCACGAGGTGAAGTACAAGTACCCTGTGCCGGGATGAACAACGATGGCACGTGGATCGGCTATGCCAGTCAACAGAGTCTTTCTATTGGTGCCGTTTAATTCGGCAACGTCCAAATGTTTGGCGTGTCGGTCGAGCCAGTAGAGCTTTCTGCCTACCCAGTCAACCGCTATCCCTTCCAAACCAAGGCTGTCGTGCCTGATAATTGCCTCTTTCTCTCCTCCTGCAATGGGCGCTCTAAGAAAGAGAAAAATTATCTGTGAAAAGATCCTCACCCTTTTTGTCTCGCTCTACTGCAATTTCATTCTCGCTTATTTATCCCTTGATAAACGAGTGACAATTCTCATTCCCACGCCAATCTGAAAGTTTACCTGAAAATTGTCTTGGCAGTAACGTCGCAGAAGTAGAGCATCTGCTCGTCGTAGTCAGCGTCCAGTGCGACAACGTTGATGAGATCCTGATGCATCAGGCTGTAGTTGGAAGCGTCGATGGACATGTTCCTGACGTAGTACTTGTTCGTGAAGACGAGCCACGGTATGATGTTGTCCCTTCGTTTGCACGTGTGCTCGTCGGCGGCGCGTTCGTACCAGTAATAATTACACTTGCAGTAGAAGCTCCCCGGTGTGTTCTGACACTGCTGGCTGCACACCTGCGGCGTCTCCGTACACTCGTCTATGTCTTCGCAAGCCTTCCCATCGTCCAGAAGCCTGTATCCCGGATTACACTCGCAATAGTAGCTCGTCGGCGTGTCGACACACTTGTGGGCGCACTGGTTCACTTCCACCAGGGCGCATTCGTCTATGTTACAGTGAGCTGGCTCGTCGCTCTCGTCCGCACAGTCCGGTTCCTTGTTACAGACTAACTGCTGGTCGATGCAGTTCCCGTTCGCGCACATGAAGTCTCTTGGATTTGGACAGGTCGTGTTCTTCACCTTTGGTGCTGCAGATTGAAGAAGAAGTAAGTTATTAAACCTTTAAATGGTAAATAAAGGGTTTGTTTAATTTCAAATCTCTCAGCTAATTCTTTTCAATTATTAAATTTAATTATTGATTATTAGCTCTAATCCTTAAAGCTAATTCCTTCAATCGCTACTTATAAAATTTCCTATTTTTATATAATTGGTGAAATGAAAAGAATTAGCTTCATTTTGATTTTCATTAAGAATTTTGACTTTAGACAATTGTTTAATTATTACTATATTATCTGTACTTTAATTACACTATATTAAGTTTAATTATACTTTAATTATTTAGTTTAACTATACTTTAATTATACTATATTAATATATTAATTATTACTATATTATCGTTGTTATCTAATATCATGTTATTATTAATAATTATCTGAAATGAATGACAGTTTGGATTCCAGCGTTTTAAAGGGTCCTTCTATCTCACAGAAAGAACAAATTTATCATCAAAATGTTGAACTTGAGAAATTTCAGTCAATTTCAAATTAAACTCTAGCAATTGAAAGAATTAACATCATCACTCTGATTTTGATGAAGAATTTTGAACTATTCCATTGTTCACGTAAAACGAGTAACACTTTGGATTTGGATTCTTGGAAAGGATCCCTGTCCCCTCATTCGGGAACAAAAAGTTCCCATTGAAATATCGAACTTTGAAAAACTGAGAAAAAGAAATTGACCTCTGCAAATTTCATTTCGGGAGCAGGCTACCCTACTGAAGCAGAAAATGTATCAACTTACGGCATCCATCCTCGTCAGAGTGATCGCCGCAGTCGTCCTGGCCGTCGCAGCGGTACTGCTCCCTGATGCATTTGAAGTTATGGCAGGTGAACTCCTGGCTGGTGCACGGCTTGTACTTGGAGTTGCAGAACTTGCCCTCGTCGCTGCCGTCGCCGCAGTCGTTGTCGTGGTCGCACAGCCAATTCTGATTCAAGCAGCGGCCGTTGTCACAGGTGAACTGGTTCTCGGCGCAGGGCGTCGGTGTGGGACAATGGTGCAACGTGACGTTCTCGTCAGCCCCGTCCACGCAGTCCGGGTCACCGTCGCACAGCCACTTCCTCGGTATGCACTGCGCCCTGTTCCACATCTTGTTCGCGGTGCAGGTGAACTCCGTTTCCTCGTCGCACTTCCGGTCGTTGCACTGGTGACGCTCGTCCTCGTCGGACCTGTCCAAGCAGTCGTTGTCCCCGTCGCAGATGTAGATCCTCGGTATGCAGTTGCCATTGTCGCAGGTGAACAGGTCGCCGAAGCAGGTCCTGCCCTCCGACTGGCAATAACCAGGAGGCTCGTCGCTACCGTCCAGGCAGTCGTCGTCTCCGTCGCAGTACCAGGTGGCCGGGATGCACCTGTGATTGGGGCAGCGGAAGGAGCTCTGCGGGCAGGTCCTCTGGGCGCAGTGCAGCGGATTCTCGTCGCTGTTGTCCCCGCAGTCGTTGTCGCCGTCGCAGAGCCAGTACGGCTCCACGCATATGTTGGTCTTCTCGCACTTGAGGTGATTCGGGGGGCAGGTGGTGTTCCTGGGGCAGCGTTCGTGGGTCTCGTCGGAGGTGACGTTGTCCTTGCAGTCGTTGACGCCGTTGCAGACCTGCGACTGTGGGATGCAGCGGTAGTTGGCGCAGGTGAACTCGCCGAGGGCGCACGGCGGGTAGACGCAGCCCTCCTCGTCGCTGCCGTCGCGGCAGTCGTTCTCGTGGTCGCACTTCCACGTCTTGAAGATGCACCTGCCGTTGTTGCAGCGGAACTCGTTCGGGCTGCACGAGTGGTAGGAGCAGTAGTTGGTGTCCTCGTCGGAGCCGTCGCCGCAGTCGTCGTCGCCGTCGCACGCCCACATTCGCGAGATGCAGCGGCCGTTTCTGCAGGCGAACTTGCTGGAGTCGCAGGTGACGTTCTTCGGCACGCACATCCGGTCCTCGTTCACCAGCCTGCTGCTGTCGTCGCATTTGCACTCGGCCGAGCCGTTCACGCCCGGATGGCAGGACTGGTCGCAGCCGCCGTTCGAGATGTTACACGGATTGACCTTGCACTGCTGCCTGGCCGCCGAGTAGATGTGCAGATCCCTCGGAGAATCCTCCAAACGTTTCACCAGCTCCACCTTGTTCGCGCCCGTGTGCTTCTCCGCGCGATAGACGCCCCTCAGCTGAAGATCCGTCCAGAAGATGTACTCACCGAAAACTGTTATAGCGAACGGGTATATCGTGGCGGAGACTAGAATCTGGCGACCACTGCCGTCCAATTCCGAACGTTCTATCTTCTCCCTGACCGCGTCGGTCCAGTAGAGCATGCGATCCTCGTAGTCGATGGCCAAGCCGCTCGGCTGGGAGAGATCCTTGTCTATGACGGCCCTCTTCAAAGAGCCAGCCATCGTGGTCCTGAAGATCTTGCCGGACGTTCCGAACCGACCCCAGTCGGTGAAGTACAGCGACCCGTTGCATGGATCAACCACTATCGCTCTAGGTCGGTCGACTCTGGCGATCATCACGAGATTCGACCCGTCCAGGTCCATCGCGTAAATGCTGTTGTTGGAGGAGTCCGTCCAGTAGACCTTCTTCTGCGTCCAGTCGTAAGAGATGCCCTCGGGATTGATCCCTTTGCTGATCAACGTGTGAATTTCAGAGGAGGAGGGGCTGTCCGCCTGCATCCAGGCTATCTTCGCCCAGGGCCGGATCTGCGTGAACAGCAGCTTCTTGTCCTGGTAGTCAAAGTCCACGCCCACCACGTTCGTCAGATTTCCAACCGAGTTGAACGGCACGCTGGTGTTCTGCGGGTCCAGGCCGATCGCTTTGATCTCCGTCCTCGTGGCGAACACCAAATACTCCTCCATGCTCTCGCAACTCTTGCCGTCCGCGGCCAGTTTGCCAACAGCGCACTCGCACTTGAACACCACCGAGCTCTCCTTCGGCATGGCGAAGCACAACTGCGCGCAGCCGGCACTCCCTCCGGACGACGAGCAGGGGTTCGTCGCGTCCGGCGGCTGGCTCTTCTCGTCGAATATAACGATGTCCCTTAATTTAGGAAGATTCGATCTCACCGGCGTCGGCATGCTCGTTGCATCTCCCTGCTTGCTAGCCTTGTACACCGTGGCCAGGTTCCTGTCCACCCAGTAGACGTCGTTCCCGTAAATGGCCACGCCCATCGGGTTCGGCAAGTTTCGCCTGATGATCTGTCGATTGCCGCCGGTGTACGAGACCTTCTGAATCATGTCTTGCTTCGAGTCCACCCAGTAGACGTCGTGCGTGACCGGGTCGATGGTTATGTCGCGCGGCGTGCTGATCCCAGACGTGACAATGGGCATCCAGTTGCTGCCGTCCAGGTAAGCCTTACCCAGTCTCGGATACTGTCCGTAATCTATCCAATAGAGATACTTTTTAATGGGATTCACGGCCAGCTCCCTCGGTGAATCCGTCGTCTTCTTCACTAAGATCTTCCTGTTGGTGCCGTCCAGCTTGCACACCTCCACGTAGTTGTCGTGGGGGAACACGTTGGTGAAGTACATGTTCCCGGCCACCCAGTCGATAGCCAGGCCCCTGATGCCGTTCGAGCCTATTCCCTGCTTCACGATGTGCTGCAGCTCGGTGCCGTTCGGCCTGATCCGGAATATCCCGTTCCACGTACCGCGGTTGAACTCCACCCAGTAGATCCAGTTGCCAGAGCTGTACACGTCCACGTGGAGAATGTGGTGGCCCACACCAACGATAGGCACCATCGCCTCCTTCGCGTCCTTCAGGCTGTAACCCCTGGCCACGTCCAGCTGGGTGACCACCGCGAACGTCTTGAACGGCTCGCAGGTGGTCTCGGTGACTTTTCGGTACTCCATGCCGCAGGCGCAGACCCTGGTGCCACCGGAGGCCGGCAGACAGATCTGCTCGCAGCCGCCGTTGTTGACGAAACACGAGTGATCACCGGTCACGCGTTTCTTGTAAATGGTCAGCGTCTTCAGCTCGGAGTCGTTGTCGATTATCGTCGTGGGATTATCACCGTCCGGCAGCTCCACTCTCTCTATTTTGTCGTACTTTGGATCGAGGAGGTACAGCCTGTTCTCGTGAACGGCGAGCGCCTTCGGAAGCGCTATGTTCTCCGAGACGATGGTCCTCAGGTTTCGCCCGTCCGTGGAGACCGCCATGATCAGAGCCGGGTACAGCGAGCTGAAGTAAATAGTCTTGCTGGGTATGTCGATGGTGATGGCCTCCGGTTTCTCCACCTTGTCCACCAACACGATCGGGTTCGTCCCGTCCATGTTGACCCTGCCGATCTTCATAGGAATACCGAAACTGCCGTCGTCTATCCAGAATATATGACCTTCCAGGGGATCCACGCACATGGCCTTCGGCTTCGCCACGGACGTCTTGTTGCCGTCGTTGACGAGCACTATCGTTCTGTACCTCACCTTGCCGTCCACCTTGATCGCCTCTATGTTCGACGCGTATCTGTTCCCTATGAATATGTTTCTGCCTAGCCAGTCGAACGCCATCGCGGACGGTGCTCCAACGATCCCGCTGTCGCCGAACGGATTGGGGAACTCGGTTCTGTTGCCGCCGTTGTAAGCGGTCGTGTAAATGGTCCCGTTCTCGTCGTCGTCGTCCTTCGTCTGCAGCCAGTAGATCATTCTCTCCCGCCTGTCGAAGTCTATGAACTTACCTCCCTCGACACCGACCACCGGAGTTATGTAGCCGGTCTTGGTGCTACCTGGTATCAAAGACACGTCTATGATCTGAGAACCACGCAGCACCATCAAGTAGGGCACCTCCTCCTCCGCGCATTGGCCGTTGTACTGCAGCTTGAATCCAACCTGGCATTTGCAGGTGTAGCCCTGGAGATTCGTCGGAGACAACAGGCACAGATGAGCGCAGGTGGCGTTCGCGCAGGGATTCGGAGTGACCGGCTGCAGAGCCGGGTGATTGACGTGTATGGACAGAGGCTGGGATATCAAGTGAGACACGACCGTTTGATTCACACCGTAGAACTTGTGAGCCGACAGCACTCTGTTCAACTGCCTGTCCGTCCAGTACATGGTGTCCTCGAACAAGGTCAAGGAGTGAGGATGGAGCAGATAGTGTGAGCCAGCCAGCACCTGAATCCTCTTGGTCCCGTCGTACAGGCAGGTGTCGATGAAATCGAACTTACTGTCCGCAAAGTATATCCGTTTGTTCGCTATGTCCAGGGCGAGGCCGTTCGGCCAGTAAATCTTGGTGTTGATGATGGTCGACCTGTTGGTGCCGTCCATGCCGATTCTCTCGATACGGGGATTCTCGCCCCAATCCGTCCAGAAGAGCCACCTGGCCCCGGGGCTCGGGTCCAGGCACATACCCCTCGGTTGAGTGATGTTCTCCTTCACCAGTATCATCCTACTCACGCCCGTCTCCTTGGCCACCTCGATGGTGTTCAACTTGGAGTCCAGCCAGTAGAGGTTCTGGCCTATCCAGTCGTAAGCGAGACCCTCTACCAAATCCAACCCGGTTGAGATCACGTCCTCGGGATCGCTGTTCCTGTCCAGCCGAGAGATTTTCTTCAGCTTCATGTCCGACCAGAAGATGGTGCCCGTGTGCATGTTGCTGGCGGTCGCGACGACGTTCTCCACCGTGATCGGCACCCTCTCCAACGCCTGCTCCTGAAGATCCGCCACGAGGATCGTGTGCCTGTTCGATATGATCAGGAACGCAGCGCTGCGATTAAACGCCTTGCAAGTGTGCTTGTCCTTCTCCAGGATGTACCCGTCCACGCAGTTGCAGTAGTATCCACCTTTGATGTTCACGCAGACCTGAGAGCAGCGGCCAGGTGGATCGCACTCGTTCACGTCCTGGCACGCGTAGCCGTCCTTGCTCAACTCCTCTCCCGGAGGACAGGTGCACTGCTTGCCGAGAGGCGTCTGGATGCAGTCGTTGCTGCAGTACAACCCCCCTCCGTGCTTGCACTCCTGGAAGTCGCAGGCCGGGCCCTCGTCCGCGCCGTTCGGACAGTCAAACTTGCCGTCGCAGACGCTGGTTATGTTCACGCACCTGTCGGTCACGTTCGGGCACTTCCACTGCTGGGAGTCGCACTTGAACTCGGGCGCGGTGCAAGCGTGCAGCTCGGTGTCCTCGTCGGACCCGTCGCCGCAGTCGTCCTTGCCGTCGCAGATGTACGCCTTGAACACGCACCTCTCGTTGCGACACTTGAAGAAACCCGGCTGGCAGCCCACCTGGCCGCAAGAGGCCGGCTCGTCGGACCTGTCCGGACAGTCCGCGGTCCCGTCGCAGTACCAGCTCCTCGGGATGCAAATCGCCGAGCTGACGCACTGGAACTGCTTGTCGGTGTTGCATTGGTCCGGTGCCAGGGACGGGCAGCCGACCTCGTCGCTACCGTCGTTGCAGTCGGATATACCGTCGCACTTGTACGAATCGAGGACGCACATCTTCTGATCGGCACAGGTGAACTGAGTGCTGAGACAGGTGACCGGCGGGCAGTCCATCTCGTCTTGCTGGTCGAAACAGTCGTTGTCGCCGTCGCAGACCCAGGACCGCGGGATGCAGTGGCCGGATCTCGGACAGGTGAACTGGAAATAAGTGCAGGTCTTCGCCACGCAGAACTCACCCTCGTCGGAGCTGTCGCCACAGTCGTTCTCCGAGTCGCACTTCCACGTGTTCGGTATGCACCTGTTGTTGGCGCAGGCGAACTGGTTAGCGCTGCAGGTCACGTTCGGACAGCCCGTCTCGTCGCTGTAGTCACCGCAGTCGTTCTCCGAGTCGCAGAGGAAGCTCATCGGCACGCACCTGCCCGACTTGCACTGGAACTCGTTCGGAGAGCAAGTCGGTTTCGTGCAGTTTCGCTCGTCGCTGTTATCCAGGCAGTCGTTCTCGCCGTCGCAGACCCACGCGTGCGACACGCACCTCTGATTCGCGCAGGTGAAATCCCAGGTATTGGGACACGCTTCGAGCGGTGGTTCGGCTTCTGGATCGGGCGCGCAAGTCTTGCCGTTCGCCTGGATACGCTCGCCGTACGGGCAACCGCAGACTCGTGTCAGCCTGGCGGTGCCGTATCTGTTCGTGTTGTTCTGGGGGATGGCGAAGCACAATTTCTCGCATCCGCCGTTGTCGATGGAGCAAGGGTGATCCAGCAGAGAGACCTGAATGTCGCGACTGTAGACCTTCACGCCGTATAGCCTGTTCGTTTCCGGCTGACGCACGAGGATGCTCTCTTGCTCCCCCGTTTCTTTGTGAAGCCGAATAATGGCGTCCAGTCGCCAGTCGGTGATGTACATCCACTGCTCGTGTATCGCCATGGAGAATGGATGTCTGATCAGCCTGGAGCTCACTGTCTGCACGTCCGTGCCGTTTAAATTCGAGTGTTGCACGTGGTCGAGAAGTGCGTCGCACCAGTACAGCCTGTCCTTCGCGAAATCGATGGCCAAGCCGTTGGGCCAGCCCAAAGTCAGATTCCTGAAGACCACTAGGTTCGAACCGTCGGTGTAGGCTCTGCTGATGTTCGCTGGCCTGTCCCATTCGGAGAAGAAGATGTATCCCTGGTTAGGGTGAATGACGATGGCCCTCGGCCGTTTCAAATTCTTCAGCAGTGTCCTGCGGTAGGTGACGTTCCTGGTGCTGAGTACGTTCAGCGTGCCTTTCCTCGAGTCGATGTAGTAGAGATTCTTCGCGGCCCAGTCGACCGCCAGACCTTCCACGCCTTCGTTTTGACTAGCCAGCACGGGCTCCCGGCCCGTGCCACTTTGACGAACCCGGTAAATCACGTCTTGCAGAACATCGCTGTAGTAGATGTACTGGTCGTGCGCGTCGTAGTCGAGACCGACGAACCTGGCTCTCCTGGAAACCACGGGCGATATGGCGTCGCTGAACCCCTCCATCACGGGATCCAACACTCTGCCTTTGATGAACCTTTGCTGCGAGTACATGAGAAACTCCTGGACCAAATTGCAATTTCTCTGGTCGCTGGACAACCTCCAGCCTATGTCGCAAGCGCACCGGTAACCAAGTCTGTTCTCTTGGTCGCTGGCTGCGGTTACTATGCACATGTGCTGACAGCCACCGTTGTTGTTCCCGCAAGGATTGGACACCATCGGCTGCGTCAACGGATGCAGAGCCTTTATAGCCTTCGCGTCTCTCATTTTGTAGACAGTGTGTATGGAAGCATCGCCCTCCGTCTTGTCCACGCTCATGATAGCCTGTTTCGTCCCGTCTGTCCAGTAAATTGCGTTCTCAAACATGGTCAATCTCGTCGGGGAGGGCGTGTGCGGGCCCCTGAGCACCATCACTCTGTTCCTGCCCAAGTAGTCAGCGGTCTCGATGTAGTCCAATTGGGAGTCGCACCAGAAGATCCTCCGGGCGATCACGTCCACAGCGATGCCGGACACTTTGTAAGCTGCCTCGAAGACGATCGGGAAATCCGCGGTCCCGTCCATGTTGGCTCTTAAGACTTGTTTGCTGTCGGCTATGAACATCAAGCCCACCGTAGGGTCCAGGCCAATGTC